AAGGAAGGAGGGAAGGAAAGAGGGAGGAAAGAAACGGCACCTGCTCCAGAAACCTTCTTGAGCCACTCCAGATCCAAGCGCCCACTTCCCCTCCTGTGTCCCCTCCTGCGTCCTCTCTGCCCTTTGGGTCTGCACCACCCCAGCCACCACCAGGCCCCACCCTGATGGCACGGCTCTGATTGCTTGGGCACAGACAGCACTTCAGTCTCACAAGAGTGAGGATCACGTTCATGAACACCTCCCCCCCTCCCCCCACGGTGCAGGCTGGGGCTGCGCACGTGCTTGACCATAATTCTGATTGCTGTCTAGCTCAGAGGTGCCTGGGGGCAATGAGTTCCATCATTCATTCATTCATCGTTCATGCCTAGCTCACATGCTCAGCCCGTCCTCCCTGCGTGTGCTCTCGGAGCCCGCCCCCGGCGTGGGCCTGAGGTCAGGCATTCATGGGCTGGTTCTCCTCCTGACCTCCAGGGCATCTGCATATACACCGCTCACTCTCTTTCCCTTACTCACTTATTACCTACTTATGTTTTTCCTTTCTTACTTATTTACTGATGGACTGATTGCTTGAAGAAGAGCTACATCCCTGAGTGACTTAAGAACCATTCATAGGTTTTGTGCTGTTTCCGAGGCACAAACGGACCTCGTTTTGTGGAATGCCCTAAAGTATCTCAGTGTCAGTGGACAGAGATAAACAGGGCTGACTTCTTGGTCAGAGAGCCTCAGGTCTTTGGGGACCCAGCAGAAGAAAACAATGAGCCCTGCAGCGTGAGTGTAGGGGGAGAAGGACAAGGACTTACCCCGTGATCATGGACTCAGACCACCTCTGAATGGTGTCCCGGCTCAGCGCGGCGATGACCATGTCCATCTTCCCCTCATCTGGGAGGATGAAGAAGACGGTCCCGTTGCCTATGTACTCCAGCTGGACCACCTGGCAGGGGAGCACCCGGTCGTGAAGGTACTTGATAGTGCTCGACTGGAACATCATGGGCACTCTTACCACGGTGGTCTTGTTCACGTAGAAGTTCTCCTCCCTGGTGCTCTCGGGGTTGAAGGGGTGTTCCCATGTGCCTGGGAAGGGAGGGAAGGGGGAGGCGGGAGACAGGCCTGTGAGAGCCGGAGGAAAACACAGTTTGGGGGCAGCAGAGCGCTAAGCAGGTGTCATGGTGGCCGCTCCCTGGAAGGTCCCCGCAGAGTGGCTAGAATTCTCTGGGAAGTTGTGAAATGCCCAGCAGTTTAAAGCCTGTTCTGTCTTCCACTTCTTGAACTGGATTGAGGATTAACTCAGTTTCTGAGCCTCTAAAACAGAAGGAGGGAGACAAAGGAGAATGCTCTTGGATTTGGGGGTAGAATTCAGTGAACCAGACTTTGCCTTACCCCCTGGACAGGAGGGCTCTGGAAATGGTGCTGAATGGAACTTGGGCTGCAAATTCAAGATCAGGGTGGGGGAGGTTTGGAGAAACGGACAACCCATTCCATGCCCACGTCTTGACTTCTGGCCACAGAAGTCTAGCAGGCGGCATGGCTGCCCAGTGGATTGTGTTCACTCCCCTGAGGGAGGCTCCTAACCTCCCGTGTGGCCCCGAGGGCCACACCACATTTCCTGGAGGCAAAGTCAGGATGAGAAGATGCCTTCAAGGTCACATGGTCCCACCCACAACTGGACTTGAATCTTTCCCCCATGCTCCACGATGACATCACACAGCCTCTTTGCCTGCCTGGTGATAGGGAGCTCACTACCTTCACAGACCAGGCTTTCACCACTGGTCAGCTCTCATGGGAGGAATATTGTTCCTTAGAGCCAAAGCCTAACTGATCATGAGGCCCATCTGCTGAGCCTCTTCGGCTCCTCTGGGCTTATTCCAAGCAACTGCGAGTCCTCTCACAGATGACAGAATTTTGGATGTTTGAAGACATGGGTTGATCTCACCAGGGCCTCCGATTCTCTAGATTAACTCCTCAGGTCACAAGGTGACTGAGGACCTTGCGTCCAGGGGTCCCCGGGTGTCTTGGCTGTTTTGACCTTAAGCCTGGGATCCCTTGTGAAGTCTCTGTTTCCCAACTGAGGCTGCCTGAGGGTGGTTGGCACAGAGCTCCAGGCAGACCCTTCTCCATCCCCACTGCCTGCAGGATCTATGGACCCCGAGGCCAGAACTCTTGTTCTGAGCCAGCCTCAACTCCCCCACCTCCCGTAAGGGCTCCTAAGGGAGGCAGTAGGGAGAGATGGGAGGATGGAGGGAAAGGGCTGCGGATGCGGAGCCTGGAGACACCGAAGCCGTGCCTGCTCCATCCCAGATGACTGTGATGTCACAGTCTGGCTGTCTCACAGCAGGTGAGATCATTGGAAGGTTCTCAAACCATCCTCCAGAGGAGGCCTGGGTTCCCCTGGACTGAAGGCAGCGGTGTTTTGTGGCTAACTTGTCCAATTCACAGCAAAAAAAAGTGACCATTTTTCAGTGTTAGGTTTTTCATCCTTAAAAGTTTGCTGTTTGCTTTCTCCTGAGTATTTCTTTTCTAGAAGCAAACATAACATATCCAGTTTGCACAAAACAAAATACAGAATGGGATCTAACCTCTACTTTAAGGGATTTCTTCTTGAAAATTCTCAGGCCAAGGGGCTCCTGGGTGGCTCAGTTGGTTGGGCAACTGCCTTCGGCTCAGGTCATGATCCTGGAGTCCCTGGATCGAGTCCCGCATCGGGCTCCCTGCTCGGCGGGGAGCCTGCTTCTGCCTCTGACCCTCCCCCCTCTCATGTGTTCTGTCTCTCTCATTCTCTCTCTCTCAAATAAATAAATAAAATCTTTAAAAAAAAAATTCTCAGGCCAGGTGAACTCATGGTAGGGAAACTTAAGAATTTATGGGGGCAAATTGGAGAGAGCAAGGATGAGTCCTGTAGAAAACCACCCCCCCCAAAAAATAGGAAGACTGTTAAGATAGTTCACTAAGTAAGGAAGGAACATGCCAGGACACTTTACGTGTCCGAAGCTTAGTGGCTATGTCACCATTCATTGCTATTTATTATGCTGGCCTGCTGGAAATATGACAGGGTATCCCCAGCTTAAAGAGGGGCTTGCCAATTAGTTTTTCTGTGTCCCAGAAAATCTGTGTATAAGGCAGCACACAGCCCTGTCACCCAGAAACGTTTCTGGGCAAACATTCTCAGACTCCTTGACCCTCTCATGTAAGTGTAAAGAATGCTGCCTTTTGTATGGAAAAAAAATGTAGCCAAAGCAATCTTGAGAAAGAACAAAGCTAGAGGCATCATGCTTCCCGATTTCAAACTATATTATAAAGCTATAGTAATCAAAAGAGTATGGCATAAAAACAGACACAGAGACCAATGGAGCAGCATTGAAAGTTGAGAAATAAACCTTGCACATATGGTCAACTAATATTTGACAAGGGAGCCAAAACTACTCAATGGGAAAAAGTCTCTTTAATAAATGGTGTTAAGAAAACTGGATATTTATGCAAAAGAATGAAACTGGACCCTTACCTTACACCACTTGCAAAAGTTAACTCAAAGTGGATTAAAGACTTAAACGTAAGATCTGAAACCATAAAGCTCCTAGAAGAAAGCATAGGGAAAAAGAAGCTCTTTGACATTGGCTTTGGTGATGATTTTTTGGATGTGACTCCAGAAGTATAAGCAACAAAAAGAAATAAACAAGAGGGACACATCAAACTCAAAAGCTTCTACACAGCAAAAGACACAATCAACAAAATGAAAGGCAACCTATAGAATAGGAGAAGATATTTGCAGGCTGTATGTTGGGTTAATATCCGAAATACATAAGGAGCTCATATAACTCAATAGCAAAAAAATCCCCAAGTAATTCAATTAAAAAATGGGCTGAGAACTTGAACAGACTTTTTTTTTCTTTTCAAAGAAGACATACAAATGGCCAACAGGTGCATGAAAAGGTGCTCAACATCATTAGTCATCAGGGAAATCAAAACCACAGTAATTTATCACCTCACACCTATGTGATGGCTAGTATCAAAAAGATAAGAGGTAGTAAGTGTTGGCAAGGATGTGGAGAGAAGAGACCCTCCTGCACTGTTGGTGGGAATGTAAATTAGTGCAGGCAACTTAATGTGTGCAGTTCCTCAAAAAATTAAAAATAGAAATTCCATATGATCCAACAATCCCACTCTTGGCAATATATCAGAAGGAAATGCACTCACAGTCTCAAAGAGGTAACTGTACTCCTATGTCCATTATTAACAATAACCAAGATGTGGAAGGAACTTGAGTGTCCAATTATGGATGGATGGATAAAGAAAATGTGGTGTGTGCATGTGCAAGCACGATGGAATATTATTCAACCATAAACAAGAAGGAAAACCTGCGATTTGGACAATATGGATGAACCTTGAAGGCATTATCCTAAGGGCAATGAGTCAGAGAAAGACAGATACTGTACAATCTCACTTACATGTAGAATCTAAAATCTAGAACTCATAAAAACAGAGTAGAATGATGGTTTGTCAGGAGCAGGAGGTTGGGAGAAATGGGTGAAGTGGTCAAAAGTTACAAACTTCAGTTATAAGATGAAGTAGTTGTGGGGATCTAATGTACAGCATGGTAACTTCAGTTAGCAACACTGTGTTCTATCCCTGAAAGTCGCTAAGAGAGCACAGCTAATGAATTCTCACCACACACACACAAAGGTAACTATGTGTTAACTCACCTTATTTTGGTAATCATTTTGCAATATACATATATATCAAATCATCACCCTGTACATCTTAAACTCATGCAATGTTATAAGTCAATTATGTCTCAGTGAAGGTGGAGGGAAAACATGCTGTTTTTGCCTGGTCAGCCTCACACCCTCCAAGGAGGGAGGCAACTGCGAGGTGGATTCCCAGACTTGTGAAGAGGATGATGGCAGGAGGGGGGCTCACCAAGATGGTAAGTCTGTCCAGGTAACAAAGAGCTGGGTGGGGGGGTGCAGTTGGCTAATGGGAGGCCCTGAGTAGAAGCTGGGGAGAAGAAAAAGGGTGTGTGGGGATTCTTTCTGGAGATTATGATCTGGATGAGCTTTAATGTTGCTGAGAGATACATGTTAAATGTCATGACTTTTTTTTTTTCTCTTTCACTTGCACTTCTTTGACTATGACTGTTTAACTGAAACCGAACCACTTTGGTCTAGGGTTACAAGGTTGTTAAAATGAGGTGTGGGAAGACTGTAGCGGGTACATATGAGAAGCAAGGATTTCCCTGAGACAATCAGGGGAGGCTTCATGGAGGACGTAACTTTAAAGCCAAGATTTGAAGAGTGGGAAGTTTTAGACACAGACTAGTTGAGGGAGGCCTCAGGGGACAGAAAGAGTACGGGTTTTGTGGCAGGCAGAATGGCTCCCTAAATATGTCCATTTACCAATTCACAGAACCTGTGAATATGTTATGTTACATGGCAAGAGGACATTAAGGTTGCTAAACAAGTGACCTGGAGATGAGATTATTCTGGATTATCCAGGTGGGTTCCCGTGTCATCACAAGAGTTTCCTTAAAAGTGGAAGAGGAAAACAGGAGGGGCAGTCAGAAGAGAGGTCATGGGGATGTGATCACTGGCTTTAAGAAGGAAAGGGCCACAAGCCAAGGAACACAGGTGGCTTCCAGAAGCTGGGAAAGGCAAGGAACGGGTTCTCCCTTAGAGCCTCTGGAAGGAATACACCCTGCCAACACTTTGACTTTAACCCAGCGTGACCCATTTTGGACTTCTAACCTCCAGAATTGTAAGATAATAAATCTGAATTGTTTTAAGCCACCATGTTTGTGTGAATTTGTTATAGCAGCCATGGGGAACTAATTCAGGCTTCCCCGAGGATAGTCATGCTCAAGGACCTAGAAGGAATTCAGTGTAGTTGGACATTGTGAGTGTGTGTGTGTGTGTGTGTGTGTGAGTGTGCTGTGTGTTGGGAACTTGGAGGAGGGAAAATGTTGAGACATGAGGCTGGAAAGGACAGAGAAGCAGATGACTCTAGGCCAGGGTATCTCAGCCTTGGATGATAGCCATTTTGGAGCAGATATCATTGTGGGGGCTGTCCTGTTTGGCAGCCTCCTTAGCCTCTACTTACTAGATGCCAGGAACACACCCCACCCCACCCTCAATTGTGACAACCCAAAATATCTCTAGACATTGCCAAGTGTCCCAGAGAGTAGAAGGGGGTGAAGATAACCCTGGGTACAGAACCAGTGCTATAAACTAAGGAGTGTAGATTTCTTCTCAAGGACAATGTATCTCCAAATTGTCTGTTCATAACAATGATGGGGGAGTGCTTGTTAAAAATACAAATTCTAGGACTTTCTTGCAGAAGCTTTGCTTCAGTAGGTCTGGCATGGGCTCTGGAGTCTATAATTTTAACAAGTTGCCATGGTGATTTTTATGAAAAAGATCTTTGGAAGACCCTGCTCTGAATTGGTGAGGACAGGCCGAAGTTTGACTAAGATGGGACTTGGTCAGAGCTGGCTGTGAGTGCTGGGGAAGTGTGTGGCATAGGGGCCATCTGGGGGGAGTTCCTGGGGGGCAGGGCTGTGTCTATCTGGTTCTAGGCTGTGCTTCCAGCCCCTGGCCCAGTGCCTGACTCACAGCCAGCACTTGGCCAATATTTGTAGACCATGAGGCAGCCAATCTGTTCATGATTACATATTTGAGCCTCAAAAGAACCTACAAGAGCCTGGGCAAGTTGCTCAATTCTTTGGGGTGTCATTTTGATCACTTGTAAGATGATGTAGTCTACCTTCCTAGTAGGATTATGGTGAAGATGGAGATTCACAGATGAAAATGTGCTTTGTAACATCAAAGGCTTTGCCCAAGAATGCACCCTGGATTTTGATGGCTCTTGCTATTCTTGGTAATGGGGTGTAGGGGGGTACCTTTGAAGAAGATGTAGTTGACCAGGATGAGCATGGCTGAACTATCCAGCTTTGATAGAAAGTCCACAATTTTCCCTTGTGTCTTATTTTTGATATACTCATTGATTTGTCTGCTGGCTCCAGCCCCATCCTTGAAATCTGTAGCCAAGGCCTCCAACTCATAATAGTGCTTGGTGTCTGCTGAGAATGACTCCAGAAGCTCCAGGCTGCGGTCAAGGAACAAGGCATTACCCATAGCCATTTCCAACATGGTTTCTGACTCCTTCTTGAAGAGGTGGTGGAGGTGCCGAAAGCCCTGGTGGATCTCAGCTTCAGGCATCTTGGTGAGGTTGAAGCCCAGGCCTTGGAGAAGCTGGACCCGTGTGTGGCCACAGGCACCCAGAGATAATATAGCTAAGGCCATGGAGATGCTCACAGGGGAGATGAAGACATCCTTGCCAGGAGCTGAAGCCACTAGATGCTTATACAGGGTAAAGGCAAAGTCAATGTTCTTTGGAGCCAAGTCCCGGTGAAGGCTCCTTGTGCTCACGTCAGTATCTGGGTCCTTAGCCTGAACGGCCCAGAGGTCACTGGTGAAAAGCCAGAGGAAATAGGTGCCTAGGGCAAGCAGCATTGTCCAGGATGGTCGGGACCTGCAAAATCAGGAATTCTCATTAGATAATGTAGGGCCTCCAAGGCAGTGGGGCATGGTGAAATGGTAGGCAGAAGACCCCATGGAGGACCCCATTCAAGCCTCAGTTCCTTCCTCCACATTGGCTCTGTGACCTGGGACAAGTCAGGACTCTGGGCCTCAAATTCCTCATCTGAAAGTATGATTATCCCTGCTATGATTTATCAAGTACCTAACAGATGCCCAATACTGACCTATGTGTTTTGCCTATATTTTCTCATCTAATCCTCACCAACAAACTAATAAAGTAGGTATTATTATTATGATTTGAGGTAGGCAGAAATGGGGGCCCAGAAAGGTTAAATATCCAACCAGTTGATACACTCAAAGAACTGAAAGAAAAAAACTGTCAACCAGGAATCCTGGATCTGGCAAAATCATCCTTGAAAAATGAGGGAGAAATCCTAGACATTCCCAGATAAAGCAAAAGCAGAGGGAGTTTATTACCACAAGGCCTCCCCTGCAAGAAATGCTAAAGGGAGTCCTTCTGGCTGAAATGAAAGGACACTAGAGAGTAAATACAATCTATATGAAGAAATAAAAATCTCCGGTAAAGGTAAATATATGAGCCATTAGAAAAACTCGTATTATTGTAATCTTGCTTGGTAACTCCACTTTCTATTTCTGATATGATTTGAAAGACTAATCCATGAAAAGCAATTATTAGTCTCTGTTTTTGGATACACAATGAATTTGTGACTTAAATAACTGAAAGAATGTGGGGACAGAGCTACATAGGTGCAGGGCTTTTGTATGCTATTGAACTTAAGCTGGCATAAATTTGAATGAGAGTGTTATAACTTTAGGGTGTTAAATGTAATTTCCATGGTAACCAGAAAGAAAATAGTTATAGAGTATGTGCAAAAGGAAGCAAGAAGGGAATTAAAATGTTTCACTACAAAAAAAATCCACTGAACATAAAAGAAGATAGTAATGCAGGAAATGAGGGATGAAAAAAACCTATAAGGCATATAGAAAACAAATAGGAAATGGCAGAAGTCCTTCTTTATTAGCAATTACTTTAAATGTAAATGGATAAAATTCCCCAATCAAAAGACAGAGATTGGCAGAATGGATTTAAAAAATGATCCAACTATACACTGACTATAAGTGACACATTTTAGATCCAAAGACATCAATATGAAAGTGGAAGGATGGGAAAAGATATTCCATATAAATAGTCATCAAAAGAGAGTGGGGTAGCAGAAGGAAGGAAACAATAAAGATTAGAGCACAGATATATAAAATAGAGAATAGAAAAACAGAGAAAATCAATGAAACCAAAATATAATATATCTAATTGATATAGTATAATATAGTATAATGATATATAATTAATATAATATGGTCTTCAAAAAGATGAACAAAATTGACAAACCTTTAGCTAAACTGAGTAAGAAAAAAGAGAAGTCTCAAATTACTAAAATCAGAAATGAAAATGGGGACTTTACTGCCAATTCTACAGAAATAAAAAGAATTATAAGAGAGGCGCTTGGGTGGCTCAGTCAGTTAAATGTCTGACTCTTGAGTTTGGTTCAGGTTTTGATCTCAGGGTCCTGGGACTGAGCCCCACATTAGGCTCTGTGCTCAGTGGGGAGTCTGCTTGAGATTCTATCTCTCTGTCTCCCCCTCCCCCCTCTCTAAAATAAAAATAAATTAATTAAAAAAATAATTATAAGAAAATATTATGAAAAAATTACACACCAACAAACTGGATAGCCTAGATAAAATTAAAAAAAAAATTCTGGAAACGCAAAACATACCAAGACTGAATCACAAGAAATGGAAAATCTGAATAGACCTGTATGTAGTAAGAAAATTGAATCAGTAATTGAAAACCCAACAAAGAAAGGCCTGGACCAAATGGCTTTACCGTTGAACTCTACCAAACATTAAAGAATTCACACGAATCTTCCTTCCAAAAAAACCAAAGTGGAGGGAACACTTCCTAACTCATTCATTGCCCTGACACCAAAGCCAGACAAAGATATTATAAGGACAGAAACGTACAGATGAATATTGCTTATGAACATTGATGCAAAAATCCTCAACAAAATACTAGCAAATAGAATTCATCAGCATATTAAAAGCATGATTATACAGCATGACCAAGTGGGGTTTATTTCTGGAATGCAAGGATGGTTGTACATAAAAAACTCAAGCAACGTGCTATACTACATTAACAGGATGAAGGGAAAAAAGACCATGATCATCTCACTTGATGCAGAAAAGGCATTTGGCATAATTCAACACACCTTTTCAAGATAAAAACACTAAACAAACTAAGACTAAAAGGAAACTACTTCAATATAAAAAAAATATGTGAAAAGCCCACAGCTGATGTAATGGTGAAAAATTGAAAGCTTTTCATCTAAGATTCAGAACAAGGCAGGATGCTTACTTTTGCCTCTTCTATTTAACACAGCACTGGCTGTCCTAGCTAGAGAAATTAGGCAAGAAAAAGAAATAAAAGGCATCTAAATTCGAAAGGAAGGAGTAAAATTACCTCTGTCCATAGGCAACCTGATCAACATCACAGCCACATGTAGAAAACCCTAAAGATTCCATAAAAACCCTGCTGGAACTAAGAAATGAATTAAGCAAAGTAGCAGGCTACAAAACCAGCACACACACACACACACACACACACACACACACACACATCGGTTCTGTTTCCATATACTAACAATGAACAAACTGAAAAGTAAATTAACAGTTATGCTATTTATAATAGCATCAAAAAGAATGATTTCTTGGACACGACATTAAAGGTACAAACAACAAAAGAAAATTAGACACATTGGATTCTTTAAAATTAAGAACTCTTGATCACTAAAGGACACTGTCAATAGAATAGAGGTAACCCACAAGATGGGAGATAATATTTGCAAATCCCATATCTGATAAAGGATTAATATCCAGATTACATAAAACTCAAGTATAAAAAAATAAAAAAAAATCCAACTCAAAGAATGGGCAAAGATGTTGAGTAGACATTTCTTCAAAAGAAGATACACAGATAGCCAACAGGCACATGAAAAGATGCTCACATTAGAGTCATCAGGGAAACTCAAATCAAAAGATCTCATTCCTTTCGATGGCTGCATAATGTTCCATTGTATATATATACCACATCTTCTTTATCCATTCATCTGTCAATGGACATCTTGGCTCTTTCCACAGTTTGGCTATCGTGAACATTGTTGCTATAAACATCGGGGTGCATGTACCCCTTCGGATCCCTACATTTGTATCTTTGGGGTAAATACCCAGTAGTGCAATTGCTGGATCGTAGGGTAGCTCTATTTTCAACTTTTTGAGGAACCTCCATACTGTTTTCCAGAGTGGCTGCACCAGCTTGCATTCCCACCAACAGTGTAGGAGAGTTCCCCTTTCTCTGCATCTCCGCCAACATCTGTCGTTTCCTGACTTGTTAATTTTAGCCATTTGCACCGACGTGGATGGAACTGGAGGGTGTTATGCTGAGCGAAATAAGTCAATTAGAGAAAGACATGTATCATATGACCTCACTGATATGAGGAATTCTTAATCTCAGGAAACAAACTGAGGGTTGCTGGAGTGGTGGGGGGTCGGAGGGTTGGGGTGGCTGGGTGATGGACATTGGGGAGGGTATGTGCTATGGTGAGCACTGTGAATTGTGCAAGACTGTTGAATCACATATCTGTACCTCTGAAACAAATAACACAATATATGTTAAAAAAAAAAAAACCGCAATGAGATACAATTCATACCCATTTGCGTGGCTGTCTCAAAAACAAAACCAAACCAAACTACAAACAGCAAAACAGAAAACAGGTGTTGGCACAGATGTGGAAGGGCTGGAAACTACCTTGCTGGTGGGAACAGTGCAGCTATGTGGAAAAAAAAGGGAATGGCAGCTCCTCAAAAAATTAAATATAGAATTACCTTATGATCCAGCGATTCTTCTTCCGAGTAAATACACAGAAGAATTGGAAACAGGGACTCAAGCAGTTATTTGTACATTCCAATGTTCATGACCGCATTGTTCACAATAGCCAAAAAACCGGAAACAACCCAAATGTCCATCAGTGGATGGATGGATAAATAAAAGGTGGTTGTATAAATACGGAAAACACTCCTGTGTTTCTCCTTTCCTCACACATGATTGCCACGCTTCACTCTGACGCCAGAGATGTGGGTTTCCCACACACCAAGCAATTCTCCACCACCAGCTGGTGGAGAATGTAACTCAATTCTGCAATGAACTACAATCCTACAACGTAACTCAGTTCTGACACTGTCCACCTGGAGGAAGTGTCAACCCCCCCGCCCCCAGTGAAAGGCTCAGTTCCCACAAGATTGCCCACCCCCGACTTCAGATGCCAATCGCTAGTCTGTGCTTCCCCGTCACGGCCCCGTCACACTGCAGTGAAATCCCGGCTAGCCCTGTCCCCTCCACACCTGTCGGGAGCCCTCTCGGGAAAGGACCTGGTGCCGTGTGCAGCCCAGAGCAGGGTGGGCTTGTCCACTTACGACTTCTTCTGGTCTCTCCTCCTCTTCCTGTTGTCTCTGGGATTTCACACCTCATCCCCTTCTGTGTTAAGCCCCCAAGATAGGGATGAAAACTCTATCCACCTCCCGAGATTGTTGCGAACATCAGTCACAGCAGTTATGAGTGCTTTCCCATGTGGCCTCGCGCAGCGGGTCATCCTGGGCCCACTTTATAGATGAGAAAATTGAGGCCCAGGGAGTCAGAGTAACCTGTTCAGAGCTGAGATTCTAAGCCCCGCAGCCTGGCCTCAGAGCTGGTGCCATGCCGTTCTGCCTTTCTCTATAGAAAGCAGAGCGATAGGAGGAAAATAGGTCTCCAAAAAGTACCCAGCAATGCTACAATGCAGTGTCGATATTCTTCATGAATTTCATTTCATGTATGCCCTCCCTGTCTCTCATTTTTGAAGTGAGGCTCAAAGTAAACGCCCACCGCATTCATTATTTTCACGAATGCCCCCATGGGCCAGGTAGTGTCTCGGGCCCTCTGCATTTAAGCCTTAGAACACATGGTGTCATGCAGGGAGTCCTGTTGCATCTGCAGTATCCTCACCCCAGGTGGGTGAGCAAGGAGGTAGGTGTGTGCGAACCTAGGGCACGCACAGTCCACTGTGCCAAGGGGCACAGCTGTCCCTGCCTGCATCCCCCAGCAGGGGCCTTGCCTTGTACCCATTCAGCCCTGCTGTCAGACTCTCTTGTGTTACTCGGCTGGGCTTAGGAGCCTTGGTGCAGTGACGGATGGGAATGGCTCTTGGCTCAGTGTCAACCCCTGCAAGGCTGGAGGCCGGGGCAGATCAAACCCACATGGGTGACCCACAGACTGCAAAACCCTCCCCATATCACTGCTCATCTACCCAGCTCCAGATCACTGCTGGCTACTGTAATGCTCAATGCCCTTTAACAAATTCAATAAGCAAGATGCGCATGGCTTCATTTCAGCGGCTGGGTAGGAGCAGGAGGGATGGACAGCGATCAGTTGCTACTCACGGTCTGCAGAGGGCTCAGGCTGCCACCACCGGCTCGGCCCGGCTGTCCTGGGTCCTGGTATGTGTACAGTAAGCCCACGGGGCACCACCGCTAAATCTTGTTGGCCAGCTTCCCTGCTGGTTAATGGTTAGAGGGGGGCCAGTGGACTTCACCATTCGGTTGTCCCCTCCCCCCGGACATTAACCAATGGGCTTCTTTTCCAGGATATTTGAACAAACACAGCAGTGTGGCAAGTTAGCATTCTTCTGCTTTCAGTTCCCTGAAGTTTTCTTTTTAATACCAAAATGAGGCTGGAGTTGCATCAGTGCTTGTGGTTGCCAGGAGGCCCCTGTCACGGAAGCCACAGGTGCCCTTAGTTGGCCCAGTGGCATGGCACCCGTGAAGAACCAGGTGCTAAGCTCGGGCTGGGGATGAGTCTAATGTCTGGTAGGAAAGAGACGTGGAAGAAAAGCAGCCAAGTGCTTCCCACGGATTATCTCATGTAATCTTCCAAAGACATTACGAATTAGATGCTGTGCTTATCACTTTTGTTTAGATAAGGAAACTGAGTCACATGGGGCTTAGGTGAGCTTCCCTTGAGATTCAAATCCAAGACCGTTCTACTCGAAAGTCTAGTACCTTCTGTCTTTTCTACATTTTTATTTATTAGTTCTCTTTTGGTTGAAAGTGACAGGCAACAAACTTTTTTAAAGCAAAAAAAAAAAAAGAATATATATTGGGTCTCATGAATGAGAGTTCTGAAGGGGGGCAGGGCTTCAGGCTTGGCTGGATCCAGGGGTTCCAAGTTGGGTATCATATCCCTCTGTCTCTTTTTAAAAAAATTCTTTCTTAGCTCTTCTTTATTCAGCTTTCCTGCCTTAGCCTGTATGTTGAGGACAAAGGTGGCCACTGCAGCTCCAAGTTATTTGGTTCTAACTGGTTATTTGAGAGACTCATTTTTTCTCCCTGTTCGTATCAGTCCCCCAAAGGACTCTGGGCATGATTGCTTATCATTGGCCTGATCACAGCGTGCAGAATATTTGGCCTTGCAAATGCTAGCCAGGGTCCTGTGCCCTCTGCTGCTTGGTAACATTATTAATTCCAGGGAAGCTCTTTCCAGGAGTAAAGAGGAGAAGTTGCACCAGTTCTAGAGATTTTGGGGGCACTTCAGTTTTATTAATACTTTTTAAAAAAGTTTTTTTATTTATTAAGTCAATTTTGGTATTTATATCTAGGAATTTATTATTATTATTATTATTATTTTTAAATTTTTTTATTTATTCATTTGAGACACAGAGATACAGAGAGAGAGAGAGAAAACATGAGCAGGGAGAGAGGCAGAGGCAGAAGGAGAAGCAGGCTCCTCGCCGAGCCAGGAGCCCGACGTGGGGCTCGATCCCAGGACCCCGGGATCATGACCTGAGCTGAAGGCAGACGCCCAACCATCTGAGCCACCCAGGCGCCCCTGAATTTATTATTTTTAAATCTAAGTCATATCAGTAATTTTTTTGTTTCTATATTTTATTTACATATTTCCTCTCTTCCCCACCCCCCCTTGATGAGTCTTGTTAGGGAAATCCGTCTAGTTATTTAATCTTTTCAAAGGATCAGCTTTTAGTGTTTAGTTTTCTTAATCCTTACTGGTTTTTTAAAATCAATTTTTTTATTGATTTCTTCCTTTATTTTTACTTTTTACCATCCTTTCAAACTCCTTGTTTTTTTAAATCTGTTGTTCTTTTTATATTTTCTTGGGTTAAATGCTTAGCTAGCTTTCCTACTTTTTAACATTTCCAGTCTCCATATAAATGTATTTAAAGTTAAAAGTCTTCATCTAACTTCTGACTGAGCGATGCCCCATAAATTTTTGATATTGACTATTATCATTGTCATGTTTTGATGTGTGTCTAATTCCCCTTTATTTTTTATTTTTTGTTAAAGATTTTATTTATTTATTTGACAGAGAGAGACACAGCGAGAGAGGGAACACAAGCAGGGAGAGTAGGAGAGGGAGAAGCAGGCTTCCCGCTGAGCAGGGAGCCTGATGAGGGACTCGATCCCAGGACCCTGGGATCATGACCTGAGCCGAAGGCAGATGCTTAACCATCTGAGCCACCCAGGCGCCCTTAATTCCCTTTTATTTTTAACCCCAGGGTAAGTTAGTAATATATCATTTAGTGTATTTAGAACCTTAGGCTACTCTTCTGTTATTTACTTTTTTTTTTTAAGATTATTTATTTATTTGAGAGAGAGAGACAGAGAGAGAGAGCACGAGCAGGGGAGAGGCAGAGGGAGAACGAGAAGCAGACTCCCACTCAGCAGGAAGCCCAACACGAGGCTCGATCCCCGGACCTCACGATCATGACCTGAGCCAAAGGCAGACGCTTAACCAACTGAGCCACCCAGGCGCCCCTTGTGTTATTTACTTTTACTTCACTTTGGTCAACAAATACTATCTACAAGGCATACCTAATACATGTTGTTGGTTTGGTTCCAGACCACCACAATAAAGTGAATTTCACAATAAGGTGAGTCAAATGAAGTTTGTGGCTTCCCAGTGTATATAAAAGTTATGTTTACACTACACCGTAGTCTATTAAGTGTCCAATAGCATTATGTCTAAAAAAATGTATATACCTTAATTAAAAAATACTTTATTGCTAAAAAATGCTAAACATCATCTGAACTTTCTGCAGGTCATAATCGCTGATCAGAGATGACCATAACAAATATAATAATAATGAAAAAGTTTGAAATATAGTAAGAATTACCAAAATGTGCCATTGAAATATGAAATGAGTGAATGTTGTTAGAAAAATGGTGCCGACAGACTTGCTTGATGCAGGATTGCCAGAAACCTTTAATTTGAAAAAATACAATATATCTGTGAAGCAGGATAGAGTGAAGCACAATAAAACAAGGTGTGCCTGTATATGATATTGAATGTGTGGAGCTTATTGAGGATTTTTTGCAATCATATATGTTTTATTTTTATAAATGTTCCATGTTTTCTTAAAAATAATGGGTAGTGTCTGTTCAATATGCATAAATGTGTATACATATGTGTATATGTACAATTGCTTGAACTTATTTTTTTATTCAACATCTATGCTGATTCTCTATTTGCTTGATCTTTCTGTCTCTCAGAGAATGTTAAAATCTCCAATCGCGATTGTTCATCCATTTATCTCTATCAGTTGTTGGTTGATGTTCTTTGAGGCTGTTAAAGCAGATGTACTTTTGATAATTATATCCTCTTGCTCTATTGCTAATTTTTCTTTTATCTCTGTTTCATATGATACATTTTGCCTTAAATTCTACTTTATCTAAGAAGATTGCTTTCCTAACTTTGTTTTGGTTCACACTTGCCTGATGTAGTCCATCCTCTCATTTCCAAACTATGTTTTCTTGTTTTAAAAGTGTCTAACATATACATTTGGTTGAATTTATTTTTATTATCCAAAAATGACATTCTGTCTTTTAATTGGCAAAATTAACCTATTTACATTTATCTTTAATTATTGTTGTATTAGGACTGACATACCATTTTATTTCATATATTCCATTTACTATCTGTTTTTTCCTTTTTGTGTCTTTTATTTATTTGCATTGAAAAGATTGAATTTTCTCCTATGGGTTCAAAAGATGTTTATTCTAGTTTTGGTATTATGGTGGTTGCCCTTTACTAAAAAACATTCAGCCGAGGTCCTAGCCGTCATGGGGAGAGACAAGCCACTCCCGCCATGCCTTGTCTGAATTCCTGTCCTCAGAATACAAGAGCATAATAAATGATTGTTTCCAGCTATTAAAATTTTAGATAATTTATTATTAAGCCATAGTACCTAGAACAGATTTAGATACCTGGGAGTGGGTGGGGTGCTGAATAACAAGGAGGGAATGAAGCCGCAGTTCTGGGGTCAGCTGACACATGGGAGTTGGAAACGTTTTATAATGACAGTTAGTGGACACCTATGACCCTGAGGCGGTTGTTGTTAGGAGCTTAATGGAAAGTGGGGACCAGGCTATATAGGAAGGAAGAAGAGGACTCTTAACTATGCAGAGGGAGAAAGTTTAGCAATGCTGTTACCTGTGGTAACATGAGTGTGGAAAATGTTACAAATGAGCTGGTAGCTGATGAGATTTCCAGGTGTAGAAGGTATGGTCTGGTTTATTCTTACTGCTTAGAGTAAAATGTGGGAGGTCCCAGATAAGCTTAAACATTTTTGTTAAATATACAAGAGCTAGAACTTTCTGAGTTAAAAAGGTAATATAGTTTCTCCCTCTTAGCCAAGGATATTGTCTTTTGAGAAGTACCTTGTTTAAGTAAGATTGAAGAGAAGTGACTTCCTGTCAGATTATCTTTTTCTTATTGGTTGGTAGGAGTGCCGGAAAGAGAGATAAATATATTGCGAAAAACCTTCTCTAAATTTGGGGCCTGACTTTTTGCTGTCTGTATGGAATCTTTTGGTGAACATAGTGCAGAGTTCCAGTGGAGCCCAATCCTTCTATTTATTCTGCAGTCAATGCTGCTTCTGTCCTGTTTCAGAGACCTTTGCCTCCCCTGATGTTGTGAAACCCGTTTTCTCATATTTTCTTTTTAGGACCTTTGGTTGCTTTATTTTTCACATTTAGATCTGCAATCCATCTAGATCTGATTTGTGTGTATTGTGTGAGGTGGGGATCAAATTCATCTTTTCCCATATGTCTGGGCCATTTAGTGACAACAGGGACTGTGTTCTTTAAGAGTGTCAGTCTCATAAAAGACGAAATGTGTTACCTCTTGGAGGAGATCGAAGAGGCATGGCAGCTGTAACCGTGTGATTCCAGAGGAGGAGGCGGTGATTCTGGGAGGGCTTCAGCAAGAAGCTTCTTCCCGGGGTTGGGGTGACCCCGGAAAGACCAGCAAGTCATCCCTGATGGCTTCCTCAGTGCATCCTCCTTAACTGTGGGAATGTGTGCTACGAAGGACATTACTGAGACAATCTACAAGACTGGAATATGAACGGGACGTTAGAGGAAAAGTGTTGTACCAGTGGTGACTTTCCTGAAGTTGAGAGGTTTACTGAAAAATAGTGCCCCCAATTCTTAGAAAATATACATGGAAGTATTTAAGAGTAAAGGGTCATGGTGTAT